GCAAATATTCTTCTACACGCACTTTTCTGTCAAATGTTTTGTATTCGCTGTGGCCATGTTTCGTTCTTTCAGAACGTCTGAATCAGAACTTGCTCGATCTTTTAATCCTCTTTTTTCTTCGAGTTTCATCTCTAAAATTTATAGTAAAAAATGCAATAAAATGCTGAATGAAGCGGTCAGTTCTACATCATTTGCAAAAGAGAATTGACATATTGAGCTATATTCCTTACCTGGATGATCAACAAACTCGCGGAAATAAATATCATATATGCAAGTGAGAAATAACCCACAAGGTAGGAGAAAGTTAAGAGTGAATGTTACCAGTCGTCTAACCGTTTGGCGGCTACAGCTGAAAAACTAATTTCGCCCTTATTTCAAAGTCTAGTAAGTCTCAATGAGAATTAAATCACAACCCACTTCGTTTGGCTGAATATCGATTTATTTTCAAGAAAAATTGATAAAAACTGGATTCCGCCAAAATGCTGCTTTTGAAGCTCAAAATTTCAGGCGAATCTCGGAGCGTCACGTCACAAATTGAAAACACTTGGGCCGATAAAAAGTACCAAATCTTAAAAAAAAACAGCATCAAAATATATTTGTCAACAATTCCAGCAATCTTTGACGATTTATTTACACAATCGAATTGAATTTCTCCGACCAAATGCTAACTACATAAAAATAGATCAAAAGTAACCCTTTATTTAACTATGTTCTACGCAAAATAATTTGCTGAAAATCTGGCTTTTGGAAGGAAAAGTGTAGTTCTTTCGATCTCCAAAGGATTTTTTGGGAAATGATTCAGCGCGAGTTAATCAAATTTTTTATGTTGGATAAAATGAAGTCTGCTGAAATCAACTACTCCACAAAAATAGTACATTGGGCTGTGAAACATGTGGCTTCGGGAGCTTAGGTCAAGTTTTAAATATACGAAACAGCTTCAGCAAACAATCATCTAACCCCGATTATAATTAAAAGTATCATGATTAAATGAACCATGGTATTTTTTTAATTATTGTTTTAGGTGGATAAAGCGAAAAATCTGCAAAGGGAATAACCCATTACTGTAGATGTGCAATAGACCAAAGTGCAACGTCAGGATATTTGTTTCTTTAAAAGAGAGTTGTGTAAGGGTCAAAACCACAACTGGAAAACCACAACTTTCACTAAAATTTTTGTACTAGCCAACGTTCCACAGATTTATATTTATACTTCTTCATCCCTGAAGGCTACCATACGTTGTGAAGTTACTCGTGCCGGTAGTAAGACCACGACCCAGGTAGCACGTTCTCATATTCACTCTAAGGACCTAAAGATCGTGGACGGCTTGAGTGAACGACGGCTACCGGAGATCTGTGAACGACATGAAAACAGGCACTCGAGGTTCTTTAGAAAACGGAAGATCCAAAACCTCATAAGCAAGGTAAATTTTTTAATTTCGTTCATCTTTTTTTGCCAGCATGTTCCAGCTTTGCGCTTTTTCTCTGCCGTGGCTTCTAGTGAGACGATTACATGTGGAAAATATTTCAAGCGAAGGATTTTTTTTACAAGTACTTGAAATTAAAATCAATGTTTGCCAACAAGCAGCCAAGTTCAGACAAATCCTTGTAAGTTTTTCTGTAAAATCAGATCTTGTTCACCAAATTCGACTGCAAAGAGAATGAATCCTTGATTTGCAATTCTTCTCCGTAGAATGTAATGGACCGATGAGCATTATACCCTCCTTCTTCCCCCTTCAAATATATACAAAAAGAAAGAGCGCAGTAAACTGTGGAATATCGTAGTTGCTCATTTAAATGATGTAACGAACCCAACCTTCACAGTTACCCAAAGAGCCGTGAAAGATTAAAAAAAAAAAAAAAAAAAAAAGAGCCGTGAAAGATATATTTTTTCTCTTAAATGAGAAATATATCGCTAAAAAGAAAGAGCAAGATAAACCTAGTGGCATAGATGTAGAGGAGACCGAGATTGATGTACTTCTTGAAGAAATCATCGAGAAAGAAAATTATTATGAATAAGAATGCAAGGATAAAGATGAAGAGCAGGAAAAAAAAAGTTGAGAAAGAAAAGTTTACTGCTGCTGGTATGCGGCAAAAAGTAATGGAAAGCCTAGGAGAAACTAAAACGGAGCCAATCGGATTTAGAAGAAAGTGGTGAAGAAAAGCCCTGAAAAAGACGATCAAACTGTTCTGAAGCAATCGAATACCTACAGGGCAAAAATGAGCAAGATCTCGAGTTAAAACGAAAACAGCTAGAAATTGATGAGAAAATGTAAAACCTATGTGAACATCAACACCAAGATTTCATGGTGTTAATGCAAAATATACAAGAAAACACCATGAAAAACGTATAGAGTCAGTAGCACAACAAATGAAAAACAAGGGAGATCAGAACTGGCCGTTGTTTATTTTTAATTATTACCAACCACCCATAAGTAGTTTATTGTTTTTTATGTGAAGTAAAGTTAGTTGACTTAGTGAAAGCATTCTTGCAGAGAAGGAGGAGTTTGGTCGAAAAACTGGCTAATAGTATTGCCATAGAGACAAGTGTAAGCATTACACAGTAAAGCTGAGACTATATAAATCTTACCTACTGAGCTTAAGGCCATCTTCAAGTTTCTTTTTAAATCTACAAACTTAATCTACTTACTTATATCATCAAAAATCCATTCTACTGAGATCCTGACACTACTCATTGATCTTTTGTATTCTTCCATGGGAGGATTTGGTGCAACTATACAGAAGGGTGTTTGCAGATGAACCCTTAAAGGGTAGGCAGAATCTCCATACAAATGTTTAATTCCATGTTAGTCAGTCTTTGGTGATGGCTCTCATAAATATAATTCATAACAGTGTAACTTAGTCATAGACAATTCGGGCACTGATCGACTAAATCTTTGTAATAAGTCGCTCTGTCGACATAGACATGCCAATCTTCTGAGTAAAATACAAAGGCCTTCCAGTCCACCAAAAATAGTTCCTTGACAAACCAAATCTGCTGGTATTTGCAGAACATCGGCAAGCAAAGGGATGTTGTTTTTACAGAATCTGAATTGTGCTTTACACTCGTCAGGTTCCATATGGTCGAAGGAAAATCGGTGATAGTCTTCGTAGAGAAGATTTCAGTTCTTTGAAGAGAATGCCTCATACAGTAAAATGAACTCTTCATCATTTATGACCTCTGATGAATGATAAAGAGTGAAAAGATCACGCATTTCTCTAAAATTAGCTATGATAGTTTGACGACTTGGGTCGAGTGGATCTTAACGGTAAATTTCCTGAGTAAACGACGCCGCTCTCCAGCCAGGCTCTTCTCCGTTATGACGTTCTGGATAGAAGCCCCCGTCCTCAATCCTAAGGTCACTTTTATCTTTTCCGGGCAATGGTCCAAAAATTATACGTTTGGTTATAAAACCATTTCGGCGTATCTCGAAACTCAAAAAACGCCTAGAGTAATCATTGCACCAGCTGAAACAGCAAACTCGAGTGTGGGTCGGTATAGTTCACATCAGGGACTCAGCGTCAAATTCATGTCCCCTGAGCGTTAATTGTGCTGATATTGTATATTTTAAACAGCGGCTTTTAAAAGAATTAACCCTACTACTGCCGAATGAGCAGTGATCTATCCTCCTCAAATATAGTCGGGTTCAAAGCCATCAATGAATCAAATGGCAATATATCATAGACCGTAGATGATGCGTAATGACGAATTTAACACAAGCCTGTTGTCTGATTTGACCAGAATTTTCACGCCCACCTCTAAAAGACTAAACATCTGGATTTTGCCCCCAAAAAAAACAAAGTAAACAAACTCATATACGATTTGGTACTTTTTATTGGTCCAGGTTTTTTCAATTAGTGGCGCAACGCTCCGAGAATCGCCTAAATGTTTGGGCTTCAAAAGCGGCATTTTGACGGAATTCAGATATTATAGATTTTCTCGAAAATGAATCGATACTCAGCCAAACGAAGTTTGTTTCTCTTTAAGGCCTACCTAACTTGAGAATATGAGCTGAATTAATTTTTTGGCTTTTGCCATCATGTTTTGAAAATGTTCGATTTTGGCCTCATTTCCTCCTAAGTTATCTGGAAATTACATCTTTGAGCACTACACAAATTTACTTTTGGAATGGGTTTTAGAAACAGTAATATCGACTCGTTTCAAGTCAACGCTTTTTATGTCACAGGGCTGTTTTTTCGAATAATCAATTTGAGAAGTTGTCACTATGTTAAGAGAAAGAACAACCCGTTGAATATTTATATCGATTATGTGTAACTACTCTTTCCCAGCTCAATCTGTCGGTCGACCAAACAAACACAAAAAGTAATGTTGCGATTCACAGTTATCCTTTAAACCCACGCGACAGATCAGGCTGAAAAAGACGAAATATACCAAGTCTACAGTGTCAATTTCTGCACCATGGATTTCTTCGCAAACCCATATATCTGGACTTAACATAATTTATGTTAACGATAAGGAAGTACGTTTGCAAACAAAGAGCGCCTATCAAATAATTTATGAGTATTGAGATCGATTCTCCTCCAAAAGAACAAAGGAATTCTAGCTCATGTAGACATAATAAACCAGTACACAGCAATAATAACGAGTATTGCATGATGTCTTGGAGAAGAGACGAAAAAACTAAATGAAAACACAATTTTTCTGAAAAATAACCTGGTAACTTACCTTGGCTAAAGATTTAACCGTATGTTTGTCCTTTGTCAGCACACAAATTTGCCTCTTTATTCGCGCCAAAATTGAATGCAATTTCAATCGAATACTGTTATCTCATGAAAGGTAAGATTAAATCAAGAAACATCACCTAGAGAATAGAACTGGAGGGTTATGTATGAGCTGGTGCATTTTTAGTCTCGTAGCATGTTTCAATAAATCGCATACGAGGAAAAATATTAGATGGACCATAACGCAACAGCTTTAATCTTCAAATCATATATTTTAGATGCCGTAATTCGTCCCATTATTACATACAACAAGAGATGTTTCTAATTCATCTCGCACAAGGAGTCATGCATAATGGCGCGACTATTAAAGGTGTAACTACCTTCTGTTCCTGATATCATCAAATCCCACATAGCATTTCTGTATTCATCTTCGTCGATGTACACAGTCAATGTCACTTCACCACCTGCCAGCTGCTCTATTTCCTCAGTAACGAGAAACTCTTGTAAATTTTTCAGTAGCGTTTCATCCTGATAACTTTGCCATAGTGCGTCAAGAGCGAAATTATTTTCTGCTTGAAGCGTAAACCGGATCGATCCTTCACTAATTGCACGCAAGTAGTTTCCAAATGGAAGAACAGCCTCTTTGAAAGCATTGACAAATGCTTCCATACTGGGACTCCTGCGAAGGACCATCCATGTAGTGACGGCCACAGCACCACCAGTAACATTGCGGAAAGTACAGTGAGGCGTGACAACTTTAAAAAATGTAGCAATCATATAGTTTACTTAACGCTTGTGGAGTTGACCGAAAAAGTGGGGCTAAGCAAAGAAATAAACGTTGGGGGAGAGTTGGCTAAGGATAGCACTCCTTCACAAACTCCTCGTGTAATTCGCTTTCTCGCGTCTTTACTTATCTCCAGCACCTGAGAGCCTAACAAAGACTACATTTGAGTGGATTGTTATCTTCGAAAGTTATACGTCACTGGGACAGACGACAAGGAAGCCTATGAATAAAGAGACATGGATGGACTATAAACATAAGGTATTCTTTTTCGATCACAGAAAAAAAAATGAAAAAGAGTTTTCCAAGGACTGCACTTTAACAATTATTGTCCAGACTCAGCAATTTCTATGTTTATTTACCAGATATGGAGCAAATTTATATGTTGGTTCCCATCCTTGCATGTAATTTTCTGGTGAGGGTGACGATGTTGGTCTTAAGTATGCAATAACCACGCAACGACTCTAGCAGCGTGAGTCTCCTAAACGCATTGTGTAGCGGGTTTAGCTGTCTCAGGTTTCAGGTTCCATACAATTTGGCTTTGTCACTCAGGCACATAAATTAACGCATTCTCTTACCTCCAATTAATCTTTCCCCAATTGTCATTCCACCAACAAGAACAGAAGTAGCTTGAGCTGGAATGTTTAATAAATCGATTATTGAATCAATAATTATCTGGGAGAGAAATCGTGAACATTAATCTATGAAATACTTCTCACTGCAGACTTTTCACGTACCTGGCTTACATTTACGACCAGCAGGGCCATCTGATCACTGGTAAATTAACTATATAACCCCTGAGGATGACTACAGGATCTAATGTCTTACTAAGGTAGTACTGCTGAATCAAACATCAGGCCCACGGATTCGCAAACTTAATAAGCCCTTGATTGTTGACTAAATTCTCTTTTGTCAGTGACAGAGCAAATGTATAAAGAACAGTATGGAGAATATATAAGCTGATTTTCAGATGTAAAGGATGAACTGATCAGTAAAGAGGTAAAACCTAAATCTTTGTATCTCTTGCAGACCTGTTTCAAGGAATAGAAGCAACTAAAAAGCTTTTCTCTACTCAACTACAACAGCAAATACAGCGGTCACATGACTGCACTGCGCTCTACGATAGATAACTTCCTATCAAAGTAAAACGTAGTTTTCCGCAGTTTCCATGGAAAGTTCGACGTTTCTGGGGCTATGACTAATACAAATTGTTGATCTGGACTTGGACGTGCTGGCTGTAGTTATTCTTCGTTGTGTTCATGGTGGAGTTGTCGGTAAAAACCGAGGGAAATGTAACGATCAAAGGTCTATGTTTATAACGGACAGTAGACTGTGCGGCAATTAAAGGTAGAAGAAAGGTTCTGTCACTTTCTTTTACCACCGAAACGAAGCATCTGCTTTAAAAACAGTTGGGATATCTCATATAAAATAAAGCCAAGATTTTTAAATTAATCTTTCTCTAAAATCCTTTTTTCATTTGTCTTACGCATTGGAATAGTTAGGAATATAATCCTCTTTTTCATACTTTACCCTACACACGCGTTCGGAAATCTCTCCTATTGTTTTCAAACTCTCTTGTATGCACAGTGTTTGACCGGCTTCGTTACTGCAGCAGCGTTTTTTCCAGGGTGACCAGGTTACCAAGGTATTTTTAAAATAGCAGGTTATGACTCAATCCTACCGGCTAGAGGTACGCCCGAGGAGCACTAGTTTCCGAGTCCGGTGATTATCGGAAATTGTCGGCTATTGCAATATGGCGGACTATTCCAGTAACACCATTTACCAACAGTCAAGCGATGAACCAGACATGAACATTATTTCATGCTTTACATGTGAAGAATACATTGTTGAGTTCAAATCAAGGAAATTTCGCTAAATTTTGTATCGCTGTTTCCTTCGCGCTCGTCGACCTTAAGTTTCTTGTTAAGCAGAGTTTTAGCTCAACACTGTAGCTGCTAAGACCTGCACTTGCAAAGGCAAACGAAATTCATGAATAATATCGCCATTCTAATAACCTTGTCATAAGACTACTGGTTAGGAAGATCCCCAAGATGAAATTTGTATTTCTCGTACTTCTAGCCGGTAGGATCTTAGGAAACTTAGAAAATACTACTGGCTAGATGTACAGCTTACATATTTTCTCAACTTGTTATCACGGTTTGCTTCACATTTCACTTTTTCTGCACTCCAAATTAGTCTAACACACTTTTTTTTAAGAATTCGTGTACATTCCTTTATTTTTATTTCGTCTTGTACCAGCTGGTAGGATCTGAAGGGGACTTTAAAATACTACAGGCTAGAGGTACAGCATATTTAGTGGACTTTGGTACCCTTACTAAACCTGGTCATATGGGCCATATATGGTCCAAGTATGGAAATGGTATGGCATAGACTATGGCCCATATATGGGTAGTATATGGCTGTAGTATGGGCTATTGCTTCCATATCAAAACCATATATGCCACTGTCTTCATTCAGTTTTGATCCTATTGTCTTTAACTATGGGATTGCCAAGTATTTGGCACAGTTCCATAGATTCCCCAGAGTATCTGGTATGGGAATGATATGGATCAGCCCCATACCATTTCCATATGATCCCTGGCCCTTCTAGCACAGTTCCATGTAATTCCCATTCATCATCATCATCCACGCATACTAGCATCTGATGTAGGAATGTTACATGTTTTGTAAAGTCTCATCCAATTCCCATATCATTCGTTGATACTGTAACATCTGATATGAGAATGCTATGAATTTCTAAAAGTTCCATACAATTCCCATATCATGTAGTAATGATCGAGTTCACTTCTGATTACAGTCCCATATCAATACCATATGATCAATGCATCCCCCCACAAACTACGGGAATTCTATGGCACAGCTTTTGCCTTTAGGACGTACCGAGTGGTGCATGCATGCTTATGGAATGGGGGGAGGAAATATAATGCTCAGTCCTGAGGTCAAAATGTACCACTAGTCAATCTCATTGCTCAAAAAGCCAAAGATATTGAGAGAGGCTACTTCTTATTTCTGTGTTTAAGGTTTTCTTCAAAACAGAGCTTACTCACTGATACCTAAAACCTCTTACTACTTTCAAAAGAAACTTATTTGTGGTTACCTTGAACTCCAGCTATTTTAAAAATTTTTTCTTAAAGTGTTTGAGATATCAAGAGCCTTCAGAACATGGAAACAGGAACCACAGTTTTGCATTCTTTGCATATATTTAATACATTAGACTATCAAATAAATACCGGTACTTAACGTACTCTCCACATGAATTCTATATCCTGTCCTCAATGGATATTACACTCTTAACAAACTATCAACAAAACTAGCAACTGTGAAGAAAAATGTTTGGGTTGTGTCTCTTATAAAACATCGAAGAATTGTAAAATATATATAAATATTATAATAATAAAATACAAGCCTAAAGTCTTATAAGATTCTGTCCTAATCTTACAGGATGATGCACCTCACAGTGGCCACCTAACAAACTTGCTTTAAGTTAACCAATCAGGGAGCGCAAATTTGTTTCATGGTACACTTCCTAATACAATGATTCTCCTGTTTGAACCAATTAGAGGATCGAATATCGCAAACCGAGATGAGCGATCCGATCCGATCCGATCCGATCCGATACGGTCCGGTCCGACATAGACGTCGCATTGTTCACATCACTCAAGGTCATATTAGGTTATTTTAGGTCATTTTAGAAATCACTCAAGGTCATTTTAGGTTATTTTAGGGCATTTTAGGTCATTCCTTGTTTTAGTAACTACCAGTGGACTTTGCCCCAATTTTTATTGTGGTTTGCTACACATTTTACTTTTCTGCACTCCAAGTTGTAGTCTTACACTCCTTGGAATCACTTTTTACAAGAGTACATTTACATTTATATTTTTTATTTGGTCTTGTACCCGCTCCAACTGGTAGGGTTTTGAGAGGCTTAGTAAAGACTACAAGCTTAAGGTACAGCTTGCATATTTAATCGACTTTGCCCAATTTTTATTACAGTTTGCTCTGAATTTTACTTTTTGGCATTCCATTTAGTCTAACACTACATTAGAATCACTTTTTTCATGAATATCCTCCTGTTTCTTAGTCGTTTACTTTTAGCCAGTATAATCTTAGGTGGTTTAGAAAATACTACAGGCTAGAGGTAATTCGTGTATTTATGGTGAATTTAGCTCATTTCATTTACTTCTTGATTTATGGACAAACCTTTGTATATTTCATGGTAGTCTTAAACTGTTGTGGAGTCACTCCATAGGTATATTTTCATACTTTGCAGTCCTGTTCATCTGGGTAGTAAGATGTTGGATTACTCAGAAAACACCACAAGCCAAAGGGGCAGCTTACGTGTGTGAAGTAAGCTTGAAATCATTAACATTGTTATGTTTTAAATGAATTTAAAGTGAATAAATTTTGAACCAGCCTGATTTGTATTTTCTTTGGATGTGGATTTATCTCAATATATACAAATATAACCAGTTTTAGAAGAATTTGACTTGAAATTCATTTTAGGCTTCAGTGAACATGTCAACCAGATTTATTGAAATTCATCATGTAATACTCTACCTAAGTATGAGTGCATGGAATTCTTAGAAAGGAACGGTCTCTATTTTCATGATATTTATGTTTGATCAGAAGTATTGTTGACAAGGCCAATCATTGTCTGAAATATTAAAATCAAGTCATCTTTAGGTAGTCATAGGATAACATGATTTTAATTCACCAAATTGACATTTTCTCTTTGTATTTTCAATGATGTTTAACAGCATGTATGCAAGTTATTCTTGAAAATATAGAATGGTCATCTACATCTACAGAAATTGTACAATTATTTAAATGAGATGTGCCTGTGTCATTTATTGTATTTTTTAATAAAAATTGCTGTTATTAAAAAGAAATCAAACCTTTCTTATTTGAACACCAACCAGAAACTCTTTGCTCATTGCCAAATAATGCCTGCTTTAGTTTCAGCTGATTCCCCATTAAGAGCCATTTCATGCTCACAACTTGTATGCTGTGTTATCAAATAAGCAGTGGTAGGTACATGACCGAGGAACAAGAAGATATTCCGAGAAAAAATGATTCCAATGTAGTATAAAACTAAAATGGAATGCCAAAAAGTAAAATGCAGAGCAGACTGAAAAAAAAATTGGGCAAAATCAATTAAATGTGCAAGCTGTACTTCAAGTATTTTCTATGCCTCCTAAGATCCTAGAAGTTATAGACTAAATAAGAGAGATAAAAATGCAAATGTTTCCATGAAAAAAGTGATTCCAAGGAGTGTAAGACTAGTTTGGAGGACAGAAAAGTAAAATGATCAAACCGCAGTAAAAATTGGGCAAATTTGACTAAATATGCAAACTGTACCACTAGCTGGTAGTCTTTTCTAGGCCTCCTAAGATCCTACCAGCTAGAGGTACAAGACCAGACAAAAGAAAAAAATGATTCCAGAGAGTGTAAGACCACAACTTGGAGTGCAGAAAAGTAAAATATGGAGCAAACCATAAAAAAAAATTGGGCAAAGTCCACTGAGTATGCATGCTGTACCTCTAGCCAGTAGTATGTTCTAAGTCCCCTAAGATTCTACCGGCTAGAGCTAAAGGACCAAATAAAAATAAGTAAAATTATACTTATTCTTGAAAAAAATGATTCAAAGCAGTGTCAGACTAATTTGGAGTGCAGAAAAGTAAAATGTGAAGCAAACCGTATTAAAAATTGTGCAAAGTCGACTAAATATGCAAGCTGTACCTCTAGCCGGTTGTATTTTCTAAGTATCCTAAGATCCTACCGGCTAGAGGTAAAAGAAAATACAAACTTCATCTTGGAGATCTTTCTAACCAGTAGCACTATGACAAGGGCATTACAATGTCCATACGATTCATAAGTTTCGTTTACCTTTGCAAACGCAGGTCTTAGTGGCTACAGTGTTAAGCTAAAACTCTGCTAAACAAGAAACTTAAGATCGACGAGCGTGAAGGAAACAGCCATACAAAATTTAGCGAAATTTCCTTGATTTAAACTCAAGAATGTATTCTTCATATGTAAAGCTTGTTATAATGTTCATGTCTGGTTCAATCACGTCGCTTGACTGTTGTTAAATCGCAAATGGTGGTGCTGTTGTAGTCCGCCTTATAGCCGACAATTTCCGATAATCACCTGTCTCGGAATCTCGTCACTGGTGCTCCTCGGGCGTACCTCTAACCGGTAAGATTTAGGCACAGACGAGTTTTTAACGCAGTTGAAGACATATTTCAAGCATTTGTTTACTCCGTGGAGTCTCATCCCGCGTATACTAGTTAGTTGCTATATGTATTTGCACTGAGGTTGTAAACCTTACATGCAAAATTCTCCTTTAACTCTAACCAGCGTCTCGCGGTTTTTGAAAAGAACACAGTGGAGGGCCTGGGCACGAAATTAATGTTTATTCGCCCAAAATATTGTCTAAACATGTCTTACTAGCACTCTAATCTACCTTCAAGAAGGAGTTAATTGTGCCCTCTTCGATAACATCAAAAATAAAATAATAAAAAAGGTTCGCACATCTATGCACACTATGAGCTTAAAATTAAGCAGAAACCTTTGTAAAATCTCAGGAATATCGAGTAGGGAAACACTCGCCTCGCAACCGGCAACGTAGCCGTAGCATTTTGGCTGAGCGTCTAAACTTGGTTTCCATCCAGGCAAGTAAAAGTGACGACTAACTCGTATTGACAATATAGTCCTGCATGTCATCTTCGTCAGCTTAGTTTCTGATTTTTAAAGTTCTCAATACATTCTCAGACAATCGGTTGAACTGACATTACACTGAGGTCTGGCAATTAACACAACAATAAGGAACCTAAATTTGATTGACGATGTTCGGCGATTTCAAGGAGTAAACGTTTGGTCGAGGAAGTTCAAAAGTGTTTCGAAAGAAGGAATCCAGTTGGAAACTATTGCTTACCTCGTGCTCTTAGTTTGTAGTCCTCCCACTCTTTCCTTTTCCTCTCGGCATCGTCTTCTTGTTTTCTCTTCTCCTCGAAGTCATCCACAAGTCTGCACAAATCTGGTTTCCCCACTTCAGTTGCTAGGGTTCTCAGGATACTAAGGTTTCCTATTCCCAGATTGTTCTGTTCTTCCAGCTTTGTGAACAGTGCATTGACATTTGCAATGTGTTCCTCTCTTTCGTGAGCTATCAGATTTTGTCTTTTGCAGATTAAAATAAGTCGTTGCAGTTCATTGGACTCATCGAGTGCACGACTTATCTTCTCCAGAAACTGTTTGTAGTCCTTTCTCTTAACTTCAAATTCGTCTACCATTCGAAGAAGATCCCATTTTCTAATCCCTAATAGCAGATCCTTTAATATATCAAGACGATCAATTCCAAGAAGACTTTTCTCCTCCAGTTTAGCGAACAACGAATTAACGTCTGTGATCTCGTCTTCCGAGCCATCAGGAATAAAACGTTTGTAAATAAGTATCAGCCACTCATGTTCAGATTGCCAATTGATTTCCTTGCTACACTGATGCAATAGATTTAAGTATCCGACAACAGACATGGCTGGTAGAAGGGGGAAAAAGGTTAATAAGTCTTGCAAAAATTAGTGATTATTAAGAATCAGGATACGCTTTGCTCGTCAACACAATTATACCGATCTCCGCTACTGCCTTCAAGGTTATGCATAATGTAGGGTTTTGTAAATTGATTCGATAGTCACACAATCTTCGACGAGTTTGTGACATACCTTGAGACAGGGACCTAGAGTATAATCTGATTGTTCGTATTCATTTGTGTCAAATCCTGAAAATAATACTTTAATATTTTTTTTTCATTTGTTCATTGATAAATTTGTACCTATCCATTTCATACTTGCCCAATGACACTGTATCACGTAAAAGATGAACTGCCACTGTTGTCGTCACATGCAAATTTAAATTTAAATTGTCAGGCAAGCATTTGGAGGACAACATGGGTAACGACGAAACACCTTTTGTTAACCTATTTTCCGACATTCGGATCTCCTTTTAGCTAATTGAACCTTCTCTCCGAGAAATATTACCAGTGACCCTAATTACTGTTTTTGACGCGAACTGTTCGGTTTAGCACGTAAGTCCAGTGCTGGCCATAATATCATTTCTTTTTTCCATTCTCAGTTTCATTTTAATGGAAGTGTGTACTTTTGAGAAGAAGACTGTGATTGGTTTCTTTTCTTTGGGTACTAATCAGGGCAATTGACCCTTTCACATTATTTTATCCAATGAAAGGTATCAGTCATTCGAAATCCATCGAACCAACTAGGACGAGGTCAGTAAAACTGGTAGAATAACCAAGTTTGAGATACAAACCGCGCTGCAGAGTTAACATAAATCATAACATAAAATGACCAAGGACCCCAACCACTGTTACACGAACCTCTTTCTCGCAGTGAAAAAAGATATTTCGTCAACAGAGGCGAAATTATATTTTTCCGCGAGTTAGGACTACTTTGGATTTTATTTATCAAAACCGTTTTTTTTTCAGACTTTTCGGCTTTTTAAAGGCTTTGCACGTTTGTTGCGGGTCATGTCATGAATTTATCATTATTAACCTTTTACACCCTAACATTGGTTGAGCATTTTCTTTTGTCTATGCTGTTTTCTATACATTTGTTAAGGATCTGACGAGGAAAATCTTTTAACAGTCAATAGCTTCTCTAGTCAGTGATCATTTTCTTTATTCTAATGACCTTAATGGTAGATTCAGGGTGATGTTGTAAAGAGAAATGAGACGCTAGTCACTCTTAGCGGCAAAGGGTTAAGAAAGACTTACTAAGACGAGAAAAAACAAGTCCCTACAGTCGCAACTTTTTTCGGACGCTTGAACAACAAGGGGGGAAAAAGTTCTCCCTCACTGTTGAGTTCAGCAAACAAGCCTGCACCAATGAAGCAAATGTCCGTGAAACTGATGTAAATTTCTTGTATAACGAAGAATCTTTAAAAAAAATGGGAAATAAGAACTAAAATATGTAAAAGTTGAAAGCAAATATAAATAAAAAGAATATTTGAATTTTCCGTTAGGCACCATCATTTTTGGATCGTAAGAAGTTCTACGGTTGCCAACATTATCTTCAAACAATAACCATTTTGTTATTCCAGAAAATTCCTAATTGCGCGAATCTCAACTGGACCATATAGATTATAGTGACAACCATAAAGTGTTAGGCGATCCATTTTGGCAGAAGCGCGCGCACGCTTCTATCTAGGGCGAGATTTATGTAATCGGCCATGTTTGATTTAAAGTTAGAGTAGAAGGTAGGGAGAGGGGAAGAAGTAATTTCTATTGTCCCACCCCCTCTATTGCCCCACCCCCTGCCCTCTCCTCCCGCTTACTTAGCACAAGTTACTCTCTCTCCTTAGCCTTCTGCTGGTGCTATAATTTTCACCAAGAAAATACTGACCACTGCCTCGCCAAATTTACGCCTGCTCTGCAGGCTATTTAAGCAGCGCACACAAAGTTCTTAATTGAAAACAGTAGATATCTGTGAGTTTTCTCTCACACTAAATAATTCATTCTCATTTATGCCAACAACTTTGAACTTTAAAGACCACTTTTGATGATTTAACAACACTGTGAGGGTTTCTTAACCCTACAACTCCTACGACTGACTAAGATCTGATTTCTTTTTGTATCATTACTACTGAATCAGCCATGAAGGTCATAAGAATAAGGAAAATGATCTAAACTAAAAAAGCGCACAATTTTGACACAAATTCTTCTTCTCAGTGCCTTGAAAAATATACCAGGAGCATTATGGAGAAACTACATCTTCATGTGAGGGTGCAAAGGGTTAAGACATCAAAGGGTTACTAAACAAACATCTGTAAAATGTTGAGACTTTGAAGTGACACATCTTACTCAGCTTTCAACACATTACTCTAAAAGTAGGCCGTTTGAGTATAATTTCATGGCACTAATCTCTCCAGCTGTGTCATTAGAATTCCGCTAACAAGGGCAAAAGTTATAAAATTGTCTTAGAAATGAAATAAGTAAAAGTGAAAGATGATGTTTGTTAAGAGCTTTTGCCCAAAAATAAATATTTATTCTTACCCAATCTTTGTCTAGAGAAGATGTCAATTGGGACGTACAAAGATTAATTAATAAAATTCTCAGATCGTGAACTCTTGATTGATTTTTGGTTATTGGCTTCCAAGCCCTGATCCTATTCCATGAAGGACCACACCCTTTATTTTGTCACTCCCAGAGCTCTGAGTCACGCATCAGGAAATTTAGTTTTTTACTAGCACAACTGACTTTGCTGAAAAAATAAAAATCAACATGGAAAAGCAGCTCCATATCTTAAGAATGGACCACACCTAGTTAAGAATAAGTTGGGCCAGTATAATTTTGTTTCTTGTAGCTGACACAAGTTTAACAAGAAAAGTTCTTGCGAGGATACCAGGTCAGAAGGTGATCTTCCATTTTTATCTTTCACCTTTATAAGACTGGAATCCAACTCAACAAGCAATCTTACAACTTCTTCATGCAACTTTTCAGCAGCCTGAAATTTAGGCAAAAGGAAGAATTAGTGCTGTAAGCTCATACTCAACATTCAACTCCCTAACCAGCTATTTTGTTTAACAGGGTACAAAGTATAGTTTTGCTTATTGCAAATCTTTAAGAGACCATGTATGGAGAGCAAGGCAAGTTTAGGTATTATAAAGTTAACTACAAAGTACAACCTACACTCCCTGATATGATAAGTTGGGACACTTCACCTTAAAAGCATTTAAGATACTCTTTCACCCTTCTCCCCTTTCAAATGTTGTTAGTTGCCTATGTCTCTATACTATCTTGAAGACCAATATTAGGAGGGAGTGTATGTCCCAACAAATGCATCTGGGAGTATGTGTCCTTTGCTGTTTGAGGAGGTAGAGTAAGATGTTGAGTTTGCCTTTGATAATAAATAGATTGCATTATGGGATCGCCGCCTTCGTGTGATGATGCTAATGATAATGATCATGCACTTTATAGTGCATTCTCCATAATAATAAGTGCTCTAATGGGCTTTACAACACTTAGCAGGGGACTATGGCCAGACCGCACTGAGTAGTTCACATTGGAGGGAAATTTTTGCAGGTGCCCCCAATATAGGAATATTTGGAAACAAGGTCAGACCGCAACAGCAGGAGATGTGTTCAAGTACATGGGTTCTTTAACATCCCCTTCTAACTAATTGATAGAAGATGCACTTTTAAGCGTTCTTATCCAAGGAGACTAGAACGTCTAACCGTTTGCAGTTTTCAGAGCAAAAGCAGCACATTCTCCTCAGTTGCTTTAAGACCCTGAGTGTCGGTCTGGTCTGGGGCTAAAACCCATGACCTCCTGCAGGCAGTCCAGTGCTCTCCAACCTGAGCCAGCGGGCAACTTCCTACCGGAGTCTGGATTTTCTTTGCTTATAATTGTTACAATTTTTTTTTTCAGTATGAGTACTCAGGAAATTTTGGATATTGACTTGCTCTCTTTGGCTGATCACATCACATCCTCTTTGACTGCCCAGCACACTTGAGATCAATTTCAGTATCTGAGCAACTGTACATTAAACCCCTCCCCTTCCCGAACCCAACACCAAATCTAACTTGATATCAGTTGACTTTTGTTGAGTTAGGGGAGGGGTAGGTGCCCAGTTGCTCAGATACTGACATTGACCCCACACTTGCAACTAGAACCAGCCAGTCTTCCCGGATCATGTGTACTATAGGTGGACCTCGGTCGACATATCAGCCGACATTCGACCGATGTATCGGTCGACTATCGACCGATAGTCGGTCGATAGTCGGCCGATAGTCGACCGATAGTCGACCGATGCTCGACCGATAGTCGACCGATAGTCGACCGATATTGGACCGATATATCGACCGACTGACGGCCGATGCATCGGCCGATATGTAGCGATTTACTGCCAGTGAAGTATCGGTCAAGTATCGGTCAAGTATCGGTCAAATATCGGTCGACGATCGACCGATAGTCGGTCGACAAGTACCTTGACAGTCGACCGATGTATCGGCGGACATGTCGACCGAGGCCACCTACAGTACACATAATCCGTCTCCCCTAGGGGAGGTGGGGTGTGTAATTATCTCCCTGTTGGTAATGAAAAGACAAAGCAATATAAAAAAAACTGCTCTTTCTTATAATAAACAGAGTATCTTTGTTGAAAAAGAAAAAAAAACTATTCTCAACATCCTGTAAAAATATTGTTTAATCATTCAACTCCAGAATTTCTCTAAGTAAAATATCAATACAAGCAGAGAAGTGATGAGAGTCAAGAAAAGTATTATTTAGGGGATTGTTAATTGATCCAATACCAACTTCTCCAAACTAACATCATAAGTATTGTATGGCAGAGAGTAAGGAGAATTTCTGATAAGATCTTGGAGTGAAAGGGTTAACAAAATTTCTCATATAATATAATAAGTGTTCTATCACCAGTATCAAAAACAAACATGCCTATTTTGCATGAAAACATTAAAACTCACGTATAAATTATTTAGATCTAAGTTTATTGTTTTGTATTTTTCCTTAGTTCAAGAATCACAATAATTTTTCTAAAACAAAAGAAAATACCAAAGAAATGCAACTATCTCAAAACCACTTTAACCTACATTCATTTCAAACCACAACAGTTTCATTGTTACCTTGTGCAAAGGGATTTGTCCATCACTATCACAAAGTCTTGGATCAGCACCATATTTGATAAGCAGGTTCACCACTGACACGTGACCAGAGTATGCTGCTCTGTGTAGTGATGACACTTTGCCTGACCTTGTCTGGGCATTCAAATTTTCTCCTTGTTCCAGGAGCAACTGACAGACTTCTTCATGGCCACTGCGGCTGGCATAATAAAGAAGAAGGAAAACAGATATGGGTAAATAACCTATAAAAAGTTTTAAACTGCATAAGTGGCCCATGTTTCTCAAACCTTCCTTCATGGAAATGAAGAACACTTCAAAATTTTCTTTGCTTCTGACATTAAGCTTCATAGTTGAGTTGGTAGAAACAGCCAAGCAGTATAGGGCAGACAGGTTGCAATTTTTTCAGCCTTATTTTTGTTTGTTTTTCTTTCTCTGTAGCTCACCCTTGAGAATCAATTATAAACTTTTATTTCATAATTAGATTGGGCAGGTGCACTTGCAGGGGGTAGGTGAATAGGAAATATTGTGAGAGCTACATTCATGAGACACCCTCGGGACCAGAATATAGTGCATTGATTATACATGTACCAATCTTAATTATTGACAACAACCTTAGTATGCAGATCTGTTTAACTAACCTTTCGTCTAAATTAGAACACGATTGTGAGAACTGTGTTCTATGTAGCACATGAACAATTATCTGGCTCTGGGAACGCTCTATGTGTTTATTTGATTTAATAATGAGTATTAAATAAGGTAGTTTAAACTTTTTGTTCTTAATGTCAATGACGTATTTAAATTTTATCTATTGTAAATAGTTAAATTAGTCAAATTTTAACTTATTGTATTAAGTTTCCCTTGCGAAATGGCTTTTGGAATTCCTAGGAATAAAGGTGTGAATTTTCACGGTAAATTCGGACTGGGAATTCCCAACCATAACAACTCTGGTTCTAAAAACCTAGAAATTCCAAGAAATTCCAAGAAATTCCCAGAAATTCCCAGAAATTCCATGTTTACAGCCAACAGGACTTGGAATACCTAGGAATTCCCAGGAATTCCAACTCAGAGAACCAATGACTTTCCCTGAAAAGCTGTAAATCTAAAAAATTCCTAGGAATTCTGGGAATTGTTGGGAATTTTTAGGAATGTTTAAGAATTACTGGGAAAATTACACACCACAATAACCACAATAAAAGCTATCTTTAGAAATGTTATATTAAGCAAAACAGTTGAGAAAAGCGATCAACCGATGAAAAGTAAATTCAAAGATGAGCGCCAAATGGAGTCTTCTTTGTTTCCGATCACGGGCATGATCACGTGGATCTTTTACGACTTGTCATTGGCTAGCAAAGTGAATCCGCTGGCTTGCCGATTGCAGTGATAAGAGAAGCGCCCAACTTTATTCTGACTTCTCCGACCGGTTCTCTGCTTCTAGAAGATGGATAGCTTGGTGATATAAATAAAGATGTGAGCTCACTCTAGGAAGAAATAATCGACAAGAATCGATCGTATTACAAATGCACGATTTGTGGCCGAAAGTTGTCGAGGGAACAAAGACTCGAAACTCACTTGAGTTGTGTTAATGGCAAAGGTGAGAAATAACATAAACCAATCACAGTTTTGAATGTGACTACAAATCGTCTTTTACCCTCATATTTATAAAAGAAGGATACCACATTAGGAAGTATAAGAGACACATAGATGATCCCAGTGTACCAGTACCTAAATCTACAAAGCTTGACCGTAGCAAGCGTTCAGCAACACGTTCCAACACCGCCATCTCGATTCCTCAGTCAGTCGTTTCCACTGAACTTAAAGCAGTAGTGACAACAGAGTAGAGTGCGTCTTACAAAGGAGAAACATTTGTACAAGAGACAGAAGTAGCTATATGCGATTACAGAGGTGCGTTGGAACTCTGGTCCACAAATAGTTATGCATTGTCCGAAGTATAAAACAATTTTGTTGATAGCTGACAGACAGAGAAGAACAACAAGTAAACTTTAGAGCTGTTATTATTGAAGTGTGACTTGCACTTTTCATTTTTATATAAAAAAGGACTTGTATTTTGCACCAAAAATAAAAGATGTAACATTTTTTGGAGATCCAGTGATTGGGACATTTAAGAAATTAAGTTATGAAAGGAAACTTGGTTGTTACTTCTCACTACTAACAAGTCTTGTTGACAAATATTTTCAGATCAGAGTTTCAAATAAAGTAAATTAAAGACATCATTTAAAAGGTGTTTTTTCTCAAAGGGAACATTGACTACCTCTGTCTTGTCTGCATGCCAAATGTTTGCAGTGTGGATGATCCACAAGTATTGGAACTCTTACAAAAATGTTTTGTAAGAATAAAAACAACAAAACAAATTACAGCAATTAGTCATGAAAATAGAGCAAAAAACTTACGCAAACTTAAGTTACGCAATGCACTGGGCGGAAAAGTGTTGAAATATTTAAAGGTATTTCATATAAAGGAAAGCACTTGGAAAACACTCTAAGTGCGTAATCTAGTATACCGAAATACTTTTTCAAACTATGCATTTGCAGCGTCTCCCGTCTTTGAACACAATGGTGGTAATGTATCGATCCAATTTTTCGGCAAACCGTTTACCATCTAAGCAATGAAACTCGGCATTGCCTCCACACACCAACAAAGATGAGAATTCCTTTTGAAAACAGTGTTTGAAATATAATAAAACGTACCAGTAGCATTCGATATTTGCATAACCCGCGAAACTGTTTTAGTTTTTTTTAGGTATTTAGTGGAGGAATCCATCGAACTTTTCGCATATTGAGGAAACAAAATCGGGAAGGTCATTTACATCCATTTGCTTCAGAATTCCCCATAAACGTAGAGTGTATACAATTCCTGAAATTCCCGTTCGTTATTTCACGAATCATTTGACGTTTCAGTGTTGACAAATTTTTCGTATTACGTAAGCAAAAAACGTTGAACTTCTCTCAACGGACTCAACGCTGCGAGGAGAATCTTTCTCATAATTTACTTTTTAAGAGACGAAGTTACCGTCTAAAATTCAAACGTTACCGTTAGGCTTATTGGCGCATTGATAACCTAGTAAATAGCTCAAACATACTGAAAAAATTTTTATCTGTTTTTGTATATCTTTATCTGTGAGCTACATGTGACTAAACAAAAACAGAGAAGTGTAGTTTGATGGCTTGTTTTCATGAATCTAGGATTTCAGGAATCGCTATAAACTACACGATCATGCATTAAGTAATATTTCTTCTTCTAATGATTGATACTGGAAGAAAATAGTAACGGTGTCATGCTATTTTATGTGTCCGTTATAAAAATATTTGTATTCGCATTTAGCTCACGGGTAAAAATCCCGTGAAAATTGTTCAAAAGAAATATATCACAGTAGTTATTTTATGACAACCACTGCTGCAGGACCTCAAGGCTCCTTTGTTCAGGACGATCTTGTACATCTCAGGTTTGAACTTTTCGTGGAAACAAGTGCTTTAGCCTACATAACCTATTTTGAATTTAATCGCTGTACTATAAACTTGTGTGTTCGATCCTCGACGAACGCCTCCGCTATAACGTCACCCGAGCTTGTCAGTAGTAGCCGATGATTTCCAGCGTCCATGGTTCGGCCGGATATGTTTTTCTTTCCTGTTTGACCGTGAGAACTCTGAGTACAGAATGGTTTCAACGCAGGGAAACATCGTGAGCAGCCATGGAGGACTTTCCTTGTAAGTAACTGTGTTTTCTTCCTTATTCTTTTTTAGCAAGGATAAGGCACGGATGTTTCAAGACCCCCTGCGTTGAAACTATTCTGTACCCAGAGTTCTCACGGTCAAATAAGCAAGCAAAAATGTCCGGCCGAACCATGGACGCTGAAAACCATCGGCTACTACTAACAAGCTCTCCAGCATAAAATAGCTTTCATGAGACCATCGAAAATTATACTCTACAAATTCAGCGCAAATGTTAGGTGTTGTTTGTTTATCACGTCCCCGAGTCCCCGCGTGTCCCCGAGCCCCACGTCCCCGAGTCCCGAGTCCCACGTCCTCGAGTTCCAAGTCCCACGTCCCCGTCCCACTTTTAGTCACAGCCGAATTTTTGAGAATTCCTAGGAATTCCCAGAAAACTAGGAATTCAGTTTGCAAGGGTCATTTGCATAATTGGGAATTTTTGAGAATTCCTAGGAATTCCCAGAAAACTGGGAATTCAGTTCGCAAGGGTTAGGTGTCCCCTATTAGTAGAGGGTTTCTTACCCTCGGCTAGATCGATTTGTCACATGAATAAAGTTTTTCATTCATGTCATTCATTCATTCATTCTGTTTACATCGCCATCCTGCGCAGCTTGCCATATTCCTCTCTCAAAGTCTATTTCAGAGTGAGATTGAGCATAAATTGATGATTTAGATGAACAACTACATTCTCCTGCGCGGTTGACATGATTACAGAGATCTTCCATGGTTAAGAGTATGAATTAAGACATATTTACGACTGAAATGTTTTAATTAGATATAACAAAGACTCCGCAGCCTCAGATCACATCGTATAAACGCTAAATCACATTTTTCGTTCGTTATTGACAAACTACATAATATGAATCGCCATATTGTCTTGCCTCCTACATTATGTAAGATAGCATGAATAGTGACCAGTATGATTGCGAGTAAAGATTGTATCACGCAACAGGACTTAGCTGCATAATTTCGATAGTGATACGCTTAAAATTTTTCGCACAAAAGAAAATTTGCCATCATTTCTTCAAAATGAGTCAATTGTGTGGTGAAATGAGAAAGAAACGTTTTGAGAAAGTTATTACATGACTCCGAAACGTCGACCGCGTGGGCCCTGGAATTACAAGCTCGTCACTATTTTCCTATTGCTATCCAGGTTACTTCGTGCTCGTATCATTGCCGGTTTTGCAAGTTTTAAATATAATAATGTCAAGATATGGAGAGAATTGTGTCTTAAGTCGACACCTTAGTCCATATGGCCACCAAAACAATCACTACACACGTTCTAGATTTTGCTAAAAATCAAGAAGTCGTAGTCGAAGTAGAGAGAGAAGCCGAAGCAGAGAGCGCTATCATTCAAACATGTAAGTAATAACTTTACTTAAACTGAATTGGTAAGACGTAATCATTCAACTTAGAGTAAGGGCGATGTAGTTGATTGAATGCTACTCGCATTAAACTAAAGTTAATCGTGAAGGTTACATTCAACCGAATGTGATATTTTTCGAATGTCATGCCCTGATTGAATAATGCTTACACATCAAAATTGCGTGTGAAAAATTCGCTTTGAATTGACTCATATTTCCTTAAAATCTTACCAAAATCTTCTCCTTCTTTCATTCTATCCCACCAACATATATAGTTATATTGGCAATGAAATCAATTTAACACAATAAATACTTTTAAAACATCAGAAGAAGTAAGATGCGACATGACGAGAAATGAATCTTAAATTTGTCAGATCTGTTAGCTGACGCATAGCAAGCTGTACCATATTCAATTCTATTTTTCTATTACTAAAGGGAATCAAGGGAGAAAAAGGAAACCAACACCGTAGAGCTTCATGGATAGGTGGGTGTCGAGAGCGATTTCTTTATAATTAATGATTAATGTTATAAATTGTCACACAATGTAACGAAATACTAGACTGATTGTAACGCGAATAGGAAGATTTCGTGACATGATATTTCACAACGTTGTAAACAAAGTTCAACACTGATTTGCATGCGTACAGTGAACTAAATAAGGGAAATAAAACGTGTAATTGTGAAATTGCAACTAAAATAGGGTATATTACAGTACTTTGGGATTGGGAATTTACTGAACTCGTGATTGTGGGAAAATTACTTTATTTCCCAACTAGAACTGTAAAACGAAGTAGCACTGAATTGTAAGGGCAGATTGGTTTTAGATCGTTAGAGTGTTAGTATGTTCAGATTGTCAGGAGTGATGGAAGAAAATAAACGCGTTTAGAAAACAAAGAAGTATACAGTCCTCTTGATTCCGCGACAGGGTTGCATATCTCTTTATTCTCATATGTCATGAGAATACGTTTCATCAGTTAGTCTGAGTAAGGTATATTATAGGGAAGATGGTAAATTTTTAGCACTGTAATGAATTAAGGAAGTATATATCTTTCTCTTATGTCATAAGCATGAAACCCAAGTCCCAATATTTATGTGGAATATTATGGCACACCTTTGGATTCCATGCTCTTCTGAGTTACAGAGAATCACATACTTCTCTGTAGCTCTGTGGCAATGAATCCAACTCCTCATGAGGGATAAGACTTATTCCTCTTTTTTAGTGAGCTAATGAGAACTGTAGTTTACCATAGATAGAACTTTCTGTTGCTCAGTGATAGAGCATCAGAGCATGGAATTCCATGGTCTGGTATTCAGTTTTGTTCTGTGCTCATGACTAGATGAATAAAATCTTTAATTAGTAAACTTCCTATATCTTTTTACACCAGTGCATCACAAAAATTCCTCACAAACACTCATTCTGTGGAGTACATGTGTACCAATTGCATATTAACATGTTCCCCGTGGATTCACCGTTTAGGTGAATTTAACAATGTCTGTTTCGAAAAAATACAATTAAAAAGATAGGTCACCTTGCTTGTTTATGAGATATAACAGGGCATGAAATTAATTTTTTTTTTCTGATAGCCACTTGGCTCCTAAATTTTCAAAGTGGTCGCCAATTCAAAAAAAGTTGGTTGTCATTTTTAAAGGCAAACAAAACCTTTTTTTTATGCTGTCAGCATTCTAATTCAACACTACAAAATTAAGTTAGGAAAAAGTATTTGATGTGTTTCAAAGTGGACACTAGGATGAATTATATACAACGTTCAAGCTCACCTAAATCCAGGATGGTGTCTAGTTATTGATCAAGATGCATGTCTAGTTGTTGATCAAGATGCATGTGCTGCATTTTGGAAACAAACTTAACAAGGAAGTTTGCCGCAGATTTATCTTTGCAAATCCGTTCAATTCACTATATCTCTAGGTATGGTAACAGTGAAACATCCTAGTCCCCAATTTGGTGCCTAATTTTCGGGATTTGGTCATGAAAAGTGAAAAATTTTGTCGCATTGGCTCCTGTATTAGGTGCAATTTCACGCCCTGTATAATGTGCCAAACTTACCCCATTTAAGCCTGCACTGGCAATAATCACCCTCGTCATTTCATTGGTTCACAATGCATTTTGCTGCAGCTGGAAGCAATGGTTTTTAAAGTAACACTTAAAAATAATTCGAGAGAAAGGAAGATTTTAGTAAATGGAACAACTGATGGATGATTTGTGGGAAAATTGCACAAATGTAAGGGACATCCACTCAAATCATTCCTTGAATTGTTCCTTGCAAGATCATAGTTTGCATCCTTGAGTTACAGGTTTTGTACATGCTTTTAGCTTTACCTTTTTTCCCATTCAAAGAAGTATTAATTTCCCCAATTTATAGGGGATAAATTGCACACCAAAACTATGCAATAAAATAAGTCACTGTGCTCTTACATGAACCAAAGACCATCATACCTCTTTGCCCAGTCCATGGATTGAAAAACAATACTGTGTTCCAGAATGCGCATGCACTCATTCCCCTGATTATGTGATTTTAATGGACAGTACAGGATGTGCCGTGCAAAACTGAGGAATCACCTTATGGCAATTAATCAATATCTATTGTACTTCAAAGCTTCACATGTAATTTGTTATTGAGAGTGCTTGGCTTCCATGGTTTGAAACAGGCTTGTCCAAATTACAATGGCCCCATTCTTTGTACATTTAGAATGTTATGTAACTTAAACTGGCCAGAAAGTGATGGCCAGTAATTTACTGAACCCCAGAGGCATTACTAACAATTTGCTTGTCAACAACCTGAGAAGATATTTTCAGTGATTGCTGCAAGAGTTGTACGCAAAACAGTTTCTGTGTAAACCTTTGTTGCAATAAATAGATGAAACTCTCTTTGTATTCTGAAACAAGAGAAAACCTTTTTTTAGAGGCAGATTTATTGGAATAAGCCAATAGGACAGTTGACAAGAAAAAAATGTATTGCAAAGGAGAGTTTTAATTGAAGGAGGGCGTTAAATGTCTATCAAACTATGTTATTTTTAAATTTTTTCCAGAATGAAGTAGTTTTTGTATTTTAATAATTCTGATGATGAGCTTACTAAGATGGCTATTAAGCTGCAGACAGGATGAAAAAGAGTATGTAAAAAGAACCAGAGATAATTTTTTTTCTATGATTCCCTTTCACAATTACAGTGTAAACCTTTGACTCCTAAGAGTGACCAGCATACAATTTCTCCTGAGATTATCACCCCTGAATCAGACGTTAAGGTCAAAAGAATAAAGAAAATGATCAACAACTAAAGAACCTCTTGATTGTTAGACAAACTCTACTTGTTAGCACCTTAGGAAATGTATAGAGAGAGAGTATGGAGAATGTGTATACTGATGTTAGGGTGTAAAGGGTGAAATAACATTTACTGAATTAGATTGAAAGATTTTAAGTTATGGGGCAACACATAACATCCAGTGTGGTCAATTTGAGCTATTAGCAGATTTACCCACAACCTGGCTAGTGGAACCCCTTAACCCTTTAAGTCCAAAGATCTGATTGTTAATTTTCCCCTCTAGCTGCGACACATCTCCTTGTAAATTAGTTACCAAAATTTGGTGTTGGATTAAGATAACAACTTCCACCTGATTAGTTTGAGTATTCTTATTGCCTGTGTGCAGGTTAATGTTTGGATATTTTAGGGAGAAGTTACATGCTAATCACTTCTAGGTGTTAAAGGGTTAAGTCTACTCACTAATAAATGGTCGATAAAGCCATGTTGGACCTCATAGGGAATGCTGTTTGATTGCTGGATGCTGTACATACAATAATTGCTGTAGGCTGCTGTACATATATATGAAGAATTGTTAACATTTTGAAAATATTTCTGTGTAGGTGAAAGTGAAAGTGAAAAGGACAGCAGTGAGGAGGAGAAAAAGAAAAAGAAAAAGAAACACAAGAAATCTAGTAAAAGAAATCAAGAAAAAGTTGCCATAAAAAGAAAAGGTTAGCACCGTGAAGAGTGAAAATTCACTTACCCTAATACATTGCAATGGTATGCACAAGCCCTTCATCACATGCTAAGAACTGGATCAAATGATATTAACCCCTGACACTTAAGAGTGACTGGTGTCTAATTTCTCCTACAATATCACCCCTGAATCTAACATTAAGGTCACCAGAGTAAATGATCACCAACTAAAGAAGCTCTTGATTGTTGAACAAAATCTCCTTGTCAGCACCCGAGGAAATGTATAGAGAACAATATGGAGGATACTCATACTGGGGCTAGGATGGAAAGGGTTAAATCATATGTGTCACTCTATACAGTACATTCACTATTGGCTGTAGAGTCTTGAGCTACATGTGTTCACATTGCAA